GACGTCCGCTGGCGCATCATAAACACGTCGGATAGTGAAAGTGCATTCGGATTCTCTAAAGTACCGCAGTCTCTTCTCCTAAGTCCTTTTGAATTCTCCTATCCACTATCCCTTAACCCCGTGACGTTTCACTCAGAGGTCAAGGAATAGGAGATAGGGTTAGAATTTAGGAGCTGATTTTTGGATTATCGGAACGCAACCCCGGTTTCTCCAAAATTACCTACCCCACCTTTAAAAACTAAAAATATTATTATCATAATCAGTGAAAACTTTACTCACTTTCAAGCAATTGTACTGTTGTTTGAATAAGTGTTGTCCAAACATTCACAACAGTCAACAAAATAAAATAAAAATAAATAGTGCAACATGCAGATCTGCCACACTGAACCAGAGGTGGCAAAATAACTCAGATCTTGTACTTGAGTAAAAGTAGAAGTACCAGAGTGTAGGAATACTACACTCTGGTATATACTTAAAGTACCAAAAGTAAAATGACTCATTATGCAGATTGGCTAATTTCAGAATAATATTTATGTAATGTTTTTATTATAATTATTGATGCATTAAAGTGCTGTTAATGGTTCAGCTAGTTTTAATGACTGTGTATACTGCAGGGTAGCTGGTGAATTTCCTCTAGGTGTAACTAAAGTCTTATTTAAGTGTTGATTATATTTCACATCATTAATCTAAATCGGTCAAGTAACTAAAGGTATTTAATAAATGTAGTGGAGTAAAAGTACACTATTTACCTCTCAAATGTAGTGGAGTAGAAGTATAAAGTAGCATAACAATAGTATACTCAATATTTTACTTAAGTACAGTACTTGAGTAAATCTACTTTGTTACTTCCCACCTCTGCACTGAACACTACAACTGCTGATCCACTGTATCTGATTTTTAAGTAAAATGATACAAAAGAATGATGATTAATTATAAATCACCAAGTATTGACTGACCACATTGTTTCCAAGGAGGAAATATGATTAATAGTACTCAGCTTTAAAGTAAATGGTGAAAACCTAATCAGTTTCTGAATGAAACACAATGACACTATTCGCCTTGTGAATATTGATCATATTAACACTTTCAAATATTAATGCTGCAGTAATGTTTTAGTTGGTGTGATGTATTTATTCCTCAAATTTCAAAAAGCAGAGAGTTTTTTGGAGGAAGCACCTGCTTGCTGGCACAGAGTTATTTCCACCGTAAACACTGGAAGAGTGAGGAACGTCATCCAGAGCACAATAATAAGGGGCTTTCCCGCGGCCATGTTTACCTCGGAGCAACTTGCCCCAGGAACAGCTGTCCAGACTGCCAACTGCAAGACTGCAGAGCCATGTGACTTTCACATAAAGAGTGACAGGTGCTGTACAGGGGAATATTGAGTTTTCCCAAAAATCTCAAAATAATGGATTGTTATACATATGAAGTTTAAGATACACAAATAATAATGCATGAAATAATAAATGAATGTTCCAAAATAAAGGAGTAGGTATACAAAGATTATCCTTTAACATGCACTAAATGTTTATATGTTGGAAGCACTGATTTTATAGTAAACTCCAGAAATAAAGCTTAAATTGTTTCACCTACCGAAAAGGAATAGGAAAAGTGAAGCTCTCCCAAAACCTTGGAAGATCCCAGAGGAATAGCAACGTGCCTGTTGAATGCATGAGGGGGAGTTCAATTGTTCCTTGTTTATTGACAATCACTTTGTCTTTTTAAGGCAAATGCAGGAGCAAGGCCTTCTCTCACTTCATGTGTGACAGAGGAGAGAAATGGTTCCCACACAGCCAGGAAGTCAAAGAGGGGCCTGTTGTGATGTAAAGGGGGATCAAAATTGAGGAAAAGTGTGTTCCTGTGTGTTCCTGTGTGTTAATGTGCGTGTGGTGTGTGTGTGTGTGTGTGTGTGTGTGTGTGTGTGTGTGTGTGTGTGTGTGTGTGTGTGTGTGTGTGTGTGTGTGTGCACACGTGTGTGTAAGTGTGTGTGAGCTTAAATCAAAGCTTTAATAAATGCTGACTGAACACTCACTGTGCAACTTCAAGATAATATTCAACAGTAACTCAGTATATTTAGGCCAGAACTTTACTAAGGCTTCAAGGTACTTTAATTGAATATTTATTTTTTCTACTTTATTCTTCTACAGTACTTCACTACATGTCAGAGGCATGAATTTGACCTTTTACTCTATTGCATTTTTGTGACATTACCTACTTTGAAGAATCATATGAATAATTCAAAAATATAATTATCTATCCTGGCTCCAAAATGGTGGAATGAGCTCCCCATTGACATCAGGACAGCAGAAAGCTTACACATCTTCCGGCGCAGACTGAAAACTCGTCTCTTTCGACTCCACTTCGAGGGATAGAATTACTAACAAAGAATTGCTAACAAAGCACTTATATACTAATAAAGGGCTGGCTTATCTAAAGCCAGTTGAGTAGCACTTGAAATGTTTTGGCTCTATGAAACCTAATGTACTTATATGATTCTGTTTTCTTCAAGTTTGTATCTTGTTGGTCGAATGCACTTATTGTAAGTCACTTTGGATAAAAGCGTCAGCTAAATGCAATGTAATGTAATATAATCTAAAAATGTATCATATAGTATGATTGGTTTAGGTACAACTTTACTTGGTACAACTTACTTTACTTTACTACCAAGTGTTATCTAAACACTGTTGTGCAGATTGAAAACTATAACTTTTGGCATGTTTTGTAAAAATGTTATTCTAAAAGTTTTGTACTTTTACTTTGTACTAAGTCCACCACCGATAAGCAAATACTTTGGGTCACATGCGGTGCACACTCACATTGATGACAGGAATTGAAAGGCTCTTTGGCAGCATGTGTGCTTTTGGCCAGAGCTGTGTCAGTAAAGGAGACCCACGCTCCCTTTCTTTCCCACCGTTGTTCAGGTTATCCTGTGGGGCCACTTATGACCCAACTGTAGGCAGGATGCAATGTCTGGGGACCCCAACAGGGTTGTACATAAGCATCCGCCAAGCCCTGGGAAGAAAACAAGGGCTGATGGAAAACCAGAAGAAGGGAGCATAAAGAGAAACTGCAGTTAGTAACCAGGACGCACTCAATAACACTCACCATGCACCTGCAGCCTGTGTGTGTGTGTGTGTATGTGTGTTTACTTGTGTGTATGTGCAGGTTGTTCCTTCAGAGAACTACAGCACAGTCCCCACACACAGCACAGGTGGTCCAAACAAAAACCTATGAAGTGTTGCCCAGAGAGTAATATCCCCACGTTGCGTGTTGTATAAAAGCCCCCCATAGAAAACAAACACTTCCGGTGCTGTAAGATTTATTGTTCCCCGCACTTATACAGTAGCTCATGACATGCTCTGAATGATATCTTCCTCACAAGGTTCCTTGATATATCCTTAATAACGTTTAATAGTCACTGAACATGCAAAGCAGAAACAAAAGGGTTCATAATTACTGCCAGATAACTCAAGGACATATTGTTTTTGTGTTTATCGAAGGAGGTGAATTCCCTCTTCGCTGTATTGTGTGATGAGAATAGGAAAGAGCTGGTTAACTGCAGAGTATGGTGTGAAAACCAAAAGCATTGTTATACTTTGATAGATTGACCGCACATCAGCTCGCGATCTTTCCCCCATTCAATGTCAAAGACTTCACATCTGTATTCACATCCGCACACTGTCATCTGCACCAGCGACGGATACCCAAGTGTTACGTAACAAAATAATCTCAGAAGTTCAACTCTCTATTGAATGATTGTTTGTTTTATACGAGGGCAGTGTAAGGGTCATGTATTAATAGAACTGGCATGAATTTAGGGACAAGCTGGTAAAGTGGACCTACTTTATAATAGTCAGGGGTTTAAAACGTGACTTTCTACGCCCTCTAGTGTCAACACTGAGGAACACCAACAAACAGGAAGCACTGTACCTCAGACATGGACTGCATTTTGTATGAATACAGAATCATTGCGTAGACTTTGAAGACGTTTATGTACATAGGTGGGTTTTCAGTCTGCAATGGAGGATGTGTAGACTTTCTGCTGTCCTGACACCAATGGGGAGCTCGATCCACCATTTTGGGGCCAGGACAGAGTAACTAACTGCCTATAGTTAAAAAGGTATACTAAATAAAAAGGTAATGAATCATTTTTGGAAGGAAAGGAAATTAATTAAAAAGATGAACCTTAATCTACAGTATATTAAAGTAGAACAAGTACAATTGGGAGATATAGAATAATTGGACGAATTAGCAGTACAATATTTCTCTTTAAATTTTCTTCCAATTTGACCTTTGACCTTACACAGGTTTAGGAGAATAACATCTCAAGTATTCCAATGTGTGCAGATACTCCAACATTGTATTTCCACTAGAGGGCTCACAACCTGTTCACCAGTCCCTCTGGTGGCATGAATGTGTGCAGCTTCACAGAAGCACCAAAAACATGTATCACTGTTTGTGAGATTGCACGGACTTAGAGTTGAAGAGATAAACAAAAGCCCACCACAGCTAAAACCACTTGAGGAACTGAGATATGAGTCATGGAAACTGGTTTAAATATAGCACAAAACCACACTTATAGCCAACCCTATAGTCAACCATATACACACAGGGCCGCAGATCTCATTTGATATGCAAGACATCTAAAAAACACACATTTGGAAATAAACCGTTCTGCTGAAACTAGTAAACTCCCAGTCCTTTGTAATTGGACACAGTAAATAAATAGACACAGACAGTGCTATCTATTTACAGTATACTCATTGTAGTCCCTCAGGGGAGGCCGTGTTTAGAGGGAGGGAGAGAGAGAAAAAGACAGTAGAAGAGAGAGGAGAGGAGAGAAGAGAGAGAGAGAGAGAGAGAGAGAGAGAGAGAGAGAGAGAGAGATGAGAGAGAGAGAGAGAGAGAGAGAGAGAGAGCGAGAGGAGAGAGAGAGAGAGAGAGAGAGAGAGCGAGAGAGAGAAAAGGAGAGTGACAGCGTTAGCCTTCAATCAGGAAATTGAAGACATTTTGCATTTGGAGTACTTTTGAAGACACAAGCTGGGGGACAAGTTCAAGGTATTTATCTGCTGTGTGTTTGTCTCATATAAAAATCTGCCAGTATTAACAGAAATGCAGGTAATGAACAATCATATTAAACAGTGTTGAAATTATTAACAAAAGTACATTTAAAAAACTGTTTTTAGGAGAAAACCAAATGACTCGAATGGTTCAACGATAATAGAGTTTTACTGGTATTCACATGGTTAATGATAAACAAAGGATAATATTTGGAGTAGTTGTTACAAACTATTATTACATTATGGATACAAAAACGATTTGACTGAGAAAAAAAAACTATTCCTAGTGTGTATAGAAGGCCAGATAAGGTATTCATATGGTACAACATGTTGGCAGTGTGTGCAATATGCAGCTACAATTCCTTTGACTCTACATCTACAGTATGTCATTTATAATATTTACACCGTTTTAATGACACGCCATGAGATATTTGTAGGGTTTTAAAGCTCTAAGATTGTCACAATGCAGTTGTTATCTGAGGGAAATGTTACATTTATGGCATAATTCAAGTATTTTTTTCAATATTCCTGTGACAGTACAGTCACAAATATGCTGACTCATAATTCAATGAACAGCAAGGCAAATAATGCCACACTGCTTAGGTCCACGCCCTCTTAGTCAAGTTTCGTTATAGCACATTGTAACTGTACAAGAGTTGACTTTTTAACTTTCACATTTGCACAACAACCTATGGGCACAAACGGTCCTTTCTTTATTCTGACTGATAGTAAACATTTTAAACAGCAGTTATCTGTGCACCATAAATGAAAAACATGATGCTTTCACATTGACCCAAACAGTTCATGGTACACTTCTCCTTGGTTATATTTAGCACTTTTATTTCTCTATTTTTAACTCTTGACATGACACTATGGCTGTATCAGAAACGGTAAATGCTACCATACAAAGATAAAGAAAAACACCTTTTATTGAGAGCGATTTGTTTTTGAGCTCACCAAGAGTCTCTACTCTGATGATAACGCTGATTTTGAGTGAGTTTCATTCATTTTTACAGCACCGGGCATGAGTTCACAGACAGAGCCCTGCAGTGGGAGGAGAGGAGAGTGAAAACAGCTTCAGGCTCCTCTGCTTAATCAGGTACAAATCAAAATGAAAATATATGCTGTAAGTTTGATATTGTAAAATGAACTGGGTTAGAGTTAGGGCTATGCATTATGCAGCATTGTATTGTACTATTACAATGAGATAAGCATGCTAGTTTAGGCGGCAAAAAGCATCATAGTATAAAGAGAATTGTAGTATATATTTAGGAAGAACGGTATGAGTGTTAGTATCTGGCTGTACGTCTCCATCAATCTATTACAGTGCACAAATAACACCTTTAATATCTTGAGCTTATAATAAGGGTGAGATGATACACTTACACCCCACCCACCAAACATATTGTTAGCAGTATGCTGTTTAACTAAAGATTTCCAATCTATACTGTATGCAGGATGGGCTGCGCTTGCAGTGACAAGAAACAGGTACAGGATGACAACTACAAAATAAAATTCACCACTCAGGCCTCTAACCAATCCAATCACATAGTAAGTAGACCTTTTAAAAGATCATCTATAGTCACCTTAATAAGTACAAAGTATGTTCATTTACTTTAATTCATTTGCCATTGTTTTTCATTCACGTTTTGAATGCTAGAAATGACATATCTTTCTGTTCTTCAGGCACGAAGTGAACGGACCCTTACAGATACTGGTAATCACTCAATCTTTCTCCTGCGTTTTTGCAGTTCACTGTTGCTATGCAGAGACACATTAGTAGCAGCAAGAGGAGGCCACTTTTATAGATTAAAATCTAAGTTGTGTTTCCTATGTTCTCTTCTGGGGGAAGGGATGGTGTTCATGTCACTATCACAGACAGTGTAAAAACATTCTGTATGCTCACGCTATATACTTTGACTATATTAACTTTTACGTCCAGAGTAGCAGCAGACAGAGCTCTTCCTTTAAAATAAATGTGCTTTATTTATAGATGATGTTGTTTTCATGGCACAACATGACTTCGAAGCAACCAACGACAGGGATCTACCTTTCAAAAAGGGAGACAAACTTAAGGTTTTACAAGAGTAAGTATTCTCTTCCTAGTGCATGGTATATTAATCAGTGAAACAAAATTGTCCTTCTAACGCAGATAAATAAAAATGATCTGCCACTTTTGTAGTGAGGGAGAATGGTGGATGGCTAAATCTTTGGAGACCGGACAGGAAGGCTACATCCCGTGTAATTATGTTGCCAGAGCAGATACACTGGAGGTGGAAAAGTAAGAAATCATCAAACTGCATGGCAGATAAGACTTCTTTGTACTGTGAAATACATTTGTATGTGTTTTTAGTTTTTCTACATGCAGTATCCTTTGTGGTTCTCTCCTCTGCAGATGGTTTTACAGGGACATAAGTAGGAGAGAGACCGAACGTATGCTTTTAGCCCCAGGAAACAAACCCGGGGCCTTTCTGATTCGAGAGAGCGAGACCAGCAAAGGTGACTGCCACAGTCTCTTTTTATAATCACGCCACAAAGTAGACTTTTAGAAGCACATTTAGAAACATGTGATTATGACCAATTTTAAGAACTAAATGTAACTGGATGGTCTACGTGTTTTCCCTTTAGGGTCCTTCTCACTGTCAGTCAAAGATCATGTACCAGAACAAGGAGATGTGGTAAAACACTACAAGATTCGCTGTCTGGACAAAGGTGGTTACTACATCTCCCCCTCCAACCCCTTCACATCTCTACAGAAACTGGTTCAATACTACACCCGTAAGTAATAAACAGATCGCTTTTTACCTATCCACAAAGATCATTAAAAAAGATTACACATAGGAGTTGAATTGTTCGTTAATAAGAAATAATAGAACAAACATTGTGCCTTAGCTTACTGCTGTAAATCAAAAGTTAATTGAAAGGGGAAGTTAGACCCTTGTGTTGTGTTGTGCATTTTCTGTTTGTTTTTCCACTCCTGTGACTAAACCACAAGATGAGAAGGCAGTATCTCTAGAATGGCTTTTAATGCACAGCAACTTATGAGTGTACACATACAGGCCTTTAAAACTATTTAAGGAACATTAGCTCATGGGTATGTTTGAGGAACTTAACTTAGCAAAATAGTAACAAAAGATGGAACAGAGATATTGGTAATTAAGTCCTCATGTGTCACGTTTGGGTGCAGGCGCATCAGACGGTTTGTGCCAGCGGCTGCATGCTCCTTGTAAGGAGAAGGCCCCCGAGCTGCCATGGGCTCCTGATGAATGGGAGATTCCCAGAGATACCCTGAAGATGGTGAAGAAACTGGGGGCCGGGCAGTTTGGAGAAGTGTGGATGGGTGAGAGGAAGCTAACAAATCGTCCTGAAATTGGCAACACTTTATAAGCCAAGATGGAAGAGTGCAGTGAGTTAAGCGCACCGTGTTGATCCCCACTGCAGGTTACTACAAGAACACCCAGAAAGTGGCTGTAAAGACTTTAAAGGAGGGAACCATGGAGCCGGCAGCCTTCCTTCAGGAGGCCAACTTGATGAAGCAGCTGCAGCACGAGCGGCTGGTGCGCCTCCATGCTGTGGTCACCAAGGAGCCCATTCTGATCGTCACTGAGTTCATGATCAATGGTAAGACAAAAAATGCAAATAATCATATATGTATTTTTCCCATTTGAGAATCTGAAACCAGAGAAAATGTGTCATGCTTATAATCAACTATAATCATCATGGTAAAAAACGCCAACTTTTAATCAACATTTTACAAAGTAATGCAATCAAATCCAAGGAATGAACAACGTTGTGAAGATTAGAATTTCCAATTTATGATGCTGTGTCAGAAAGTTGTTTATATTCAATGGCCATTTATGATCAGCTGTTCCATTATTTAGTGAGTATATAAGAAGTTTGTTGGTGAGAGAAAAAACTAATTAGAGAACTATATAGTTAAAGATGACCTCTCATCAAAATGCTTTAAAATATGTATTGCCAGGTTGTTCTACTGAAAGATGCTGTAAAGAGCAGGTGTCTGCAATGATGTATATATACACATTTTGAGTATCATGTAAGACTAAAAGTGCAGAAATATCTAACCTTATCCAAACTATTATCTAGTACTTTCTATTAAACAGCAATGTTTCTTTGTCACTTTTAATGTGTTAGAGTGATGATAGAGTTATCATCCTTCTCCTTTTCTCCTCTGCAGGATGTCTTCTGGACTATCTAAAATCAGATGAAGGGAAAAAGCTCAAGATGAATAAGCTGATAGACATGTCAGCGCAGGTGGGAGACTTATGATTCTAAATGGCTAATTTTAACAACATGATGTCCGTGAGTGCGAATAATCATATGTTGTACAGTATGTGGCCTGTTCGTCACATAGACCTCTCAATACAGTCAGGAAAGCTTTCTCTACATTTATAAATAGGCCTACAGGATGTTTATTTGTTTTATATTTGTATTAGCATATTCTGACAAAAACAAAAGCGTTTGACCTCAAAGCCTATTTTTACACGCATCATAGCACGCATCATAGCACTCTGAATGTCAGTTTTAATTAGGGATGCACGATAATTATCGGCCCGATAATTATCGGTCCGATATTAGGAATTATGACGTCATCCCGATAAACCCGATACCAGTATTAATAGCCCCGATAATATACAATATATTTTTTGGGTAAAAAAAAAGAAAAAGATATGGGTGGATTGGGATGAGGGTTGCTTGTTTTTCACTCGGCTCCTCCCGTTTTTCACTCGGCTCCTCCCGTTTTGGCAGTACTGTGGTATTAGTGGTTTAGGAAGAGGGGAGTTCTTCACAAATCCAGCGCTCCGTAACTCATGCCTGGCTGTGACGTAAATGGTGTGCGGCCGTGAAGCCAGGACAGTAAACAAACATGTCGTCGGTGGTATGGGCGTTGGAGCTATGTGCAACTCAAGGCATATGCTCGAACCGGAGCTGCCTGGACGCTGCAATCATGTTGCGCACTATCCGTGCTGAGTGTGCTGACTTTTTCGTACAATGTCCCACTGTCTGGCTTCCTGCATAAAGTCAAGTGCTCGGCGCAGTTGTGGCGGAAATGTCGCTCCCTCTGTTTTCATTTAAACAGCTGCTTATATCCGTTAGCGCAGCTAGCTAGCACCAGATGCTAACAACAACAATGCACGTAAGGTCTCTCTCTCGCTCGCTCGGGCCACACATACACACACCCTCCCGGTCTCTCCAGATGGCCAGTCGGTTTGCCTGCCGGTGAGCGTGTGGAAGTGTGGTATGCCACAAGCGGGCGGTAGGAGCGGGGCTGTCAGCATCAGCTTGTAGATGCTATTTTAAACTCGATGCGCTCTGAAACTACGGGGCGGTCAAGGAACAAAAATACACATGCGTTAATCGCGTTAAATAATTAGTGGCGTAAAAAAATGTTGTTATCGGTATCGGTCTTGAGAAGCAGGAAGTTATCGGTATCGGTATCGGTTTCAAAAAACCAATATCGCGCATCCCTAGTTTTAATATATGCTTTCACACCCGCTATGATGTGAATACACGGCAACTGTCAGCAGTAGCTGTGTGGTTTCTGTGGTAAGGCTTCTACTCTGCTGGCTTGAAAGACTCCCCATACATCAATTATTAATATCCGGACAGGAAATCATGTTATTTTCCATTTACAGTGCGCTCCCTCAGAACTTCTTGCCCCTTTCGAAAAAAGCCCTTTCCTGACAGTCGGAACTTCCTGTTAAACCCACTGCTGCCATTATCATAAACACAAACAGTATTCACGCACGCATACAGTATACACACATGCTGGAGCTGTACTCTACACACTGACCAGAAGAAACACACACAAGCAGCACGTGCACCAAATCTCGATTTCACCTATGGATGTGCTGTAAACAGATATCTTTCAAGTTGTCTTATTTCTTGGGACAACAAAATGACTTTTCTCTCTATATGACAGATTGCTGAAGGCATGGAGTACATCGAGGGGAAGAACTACATTCACCGAGATGTGCGTGCAGCCAACATTTTGGTCAGCGATGACATCCACTGCAAGATAGCAGACTTTGGTTTGGCCAGGATCATCGAATCAGAATACACAGCTCAAGAAGGTACAGTATATGTACAAAGGTTTCCTCACATTGGACAATAAATGCATCCAAGGCCTCAGCCAGGATTTTAGGAAATACTGATTGGATGAATTGAAGGGAGCTAATGCACCAGCCACCCCACTGAAATTTAAATAGACACTCAAATCTAAAAATATAAGCGTTTGTATCTATTCTGTTGACTGTTAAATCATATTTTTATGTAGCTTTTCCTGCAAGTTTAAAGGTTGACCCTATTTACAATTCTACAATATTTTGCAGATGTTAAAAAAGTGTAAATGAATAATTAGTTGCACATTATCTCCACTATTGTTTGAATATGTGATGTGAAATAGTGTAGAGTCTCAGCAGTGAGCGATATGGATATACATCTTCTATCACATTATATATGTTTTAGTTATGTGAAAGAAATATATATACACCTACATATTTCCAGCATTTCCCTGCTGAGTAACATTTCCTCTGCCTTTTTCAACCCTCTCTCTGACAATTAGGAGCCAAATTTCCCATCAAATGGACGGCTCCAGAGGCCATCAACTTTGGCACATTCAGCATCAAATCAGATGTGTGGTCCTTTGGGATCCTCCTCACAGAGATAGTCACATATGGAAGGATACCCTACCCAGGTAAGAGAAGTGAGAAACAAGTAGAAGGAGAGAAAAAATGAAATTAGCTTCCATTTAAATTGTTTAGAAACCAGAGGAAATGTTACTTTGCAGCTATGAAAATCGCACATTATGATGAAATATTGGAATGTCTCGTAATGCCTGTTTTCTTTATGTTAATCAGGGATGACCAACCCAGAGGTGATCAGGAGTCTAGATCAGTCGTACAGGATGCCGTGTCCGGACGGCTGCCCTGAGGAACTCTATGATGTTATGACTATGTGCTGGGGGCAGAGGTCTGAGGACCGGCCCACGTTTGAGTTTCTGCAGAACACTCTCAACGACTTCTTCATCGCCACGGAGGGACAATATGAGATGCAGCCGTGATTAAAGAGAAGGTTTCCTGCTGATAACATTGAAGACCACAACATGTCCTGAAGACAGATGTGAGACTTGCATGGGTAAAGGATGAGGACCAACCAAAGATATATATTTCTTAAGACTTTTTCAAACATTTCAAATGAACAGAATTTTGTACTATATCTTATTAGTGATTTTGAAAGTTATTCATAGCTGATTATGCAGCGACAGTAAGAGCTTCTGAAACAAGTTGTAGTCAAAAAAGGAAATGTTAAGGGTTGCCAACTACCCTGGTATTGATGGCTCACATTGTAGTATGAGAAGACATAATTAGGATTTGGTTAAAAGAAGAAATATTGAAATACATATACAGTCCATGCGTGCTGTTAAAAGGCATATGGACCCAGCAAAGTTGGACCAGGTAGAGTTAAAGATTAATCAATTGCATGGCACAGAAACGAGCAGCCTGAGAATACATGCACAATAATTTGCACTTTCCCACCCCCCTTTATTATTCCTTTCAATGGATGCAGGAAAGGGGCTTTTGTAGGAGTGTTTGTACTTGCAAACATGTTCTATGTAAATAAAGATATTTACATCTTATTTTTACCTATTTGTATATATAAAACGATCCCCCTTTTACATAGCAACCAAAGAGATCATTAATTTGATACAAAATATTGTTGCTATTAATAAACTGTAGACATTATTTATTGACCAATCAGAATTAAGTATTCTAGGCATTTTAAAACACTGGCTTAATTTCTTTTTTATAATGAAATATTCTAGAACGCATACAACTACAGAGAGCATTGAACCATTTTAAAGAAGGTGGCACTCTAAATGAGGCTTTGCATGAACAGGATATCCCTTACAAATATAATAATCACACGTAATCACTTTTGCAGACCAAATAAAAGTTCGGTATTTTAACTTTTACATTGGTGAATGGAGGAAAATATAAAAGTGATGAGTGATTACAAAGAGTTGCATACAGGAAGCTTTTAAAAGCATCTCACTTTCCTAAATTACAGTGCATGGGTTTGATCCGGAGGGGCCGGCAGTATCTTGAAGATAAGAGAGTGGAAGGGCAGCGGCAGCCAGGGGTTAAACCCAGCCACTTCCTGAATGGACAGGAAACAGGAAGTGTGAGTCAGCATTCCTGAAATGCCACACAGCTAGAATGACCTCCCATGACAAACTGGTTGAGGTGTTCACATTTTCTTTACGTTTAAAATATCTGTTTTGTGCTTGTGCTTTTTTCTTTTTCAATCTGTTGGTCGGTAAACCACCTTCAATATTCATGACTTTCATTTCCTTTGTTAAACATTATACTCTTCTGTGAATAAGTTAATAGAAAACTAAAACGAATTCATACATTCACCAGTGCACCATCATCACGGTAAGTGTTATCTGCCATAAGTCTAGATATATTTTATGGATCAGTCGGTGACAGACGGTGTTAATGTACCACTGGCCTGCTTTCCTGTTGAATCATCAAAACAGTTTGTTACAGCGATTGCAAAGGGTAATTTATATGACTGAGCTGAGGGCTCTTAGAAAAATAAATGAAATGACATACACTTTGGAGAGTTTCCAACTGACGCAACAAGAGGAGAGCTATGTGTCACAGCATCTTGCATTAATTTCATTAAAATGCATTGCAAGCGTTAGATAGCCGCCACATTGGCAGTCTGTGTAATATCAATCTTTCTGAAGAATAGAAGCAGTTTTACTGTGAGTTTGGACTTTTCAACCCCTGCACTGGCTTGGATGCCCATCTTTATCAATTATGGGAATTAACATTTCCCCTTAGTCATATGGTGACTAATGTTTTCCCAACAGAAATGATGCGTACATAGCCAATACAAAATACATACATGTTAGTAAAGGAAAGTGTGACATTTCTAATGCAGGTTACAGTGATGTTTACACCATTGTCCTCCTGCAGAGGTCAGTGTTGCACAGTTTCACATGACATACTCTGCTGTAAATTGTAAAGAGACTGTTGAGCCTGATAAATGAGAACAGTGAAGTACTGATAAATTCAACTCACTCACTTCACACGAAAAAGTGAAGTTTTCCCATCACAAGCAATTTGTAAAATGATACTTCACAACATCATGTTTTGGCAATTTTATGATATTAATGATAGAAGTTCCTGAGATGCAAACCATTTAGGTTTTCTTTAAATTAGTGTTTTGAAAAAAAGAAATACTGAATGACTCGACAGCATTATTATGTGGACATTTGTTGTGACAACTTCCTCAGGAATATCATGAAACGTTCTGGTAAAGAGTCTAACTTTGATCAACCTCACATATCTGATGTGGCATCGTGACATGTGAGCTGTGGTCTCTAACCACCGGGCCGGACTGTCACGCACTGATATAATCTGTATTCATTTGATCTTATCTGTGCGTCTTACGAGGCATCTAATAGCACATCTTTGTATTTTGCTTTCTATTAGATCATGTTAACATGATTTAATGTTAAAAATACACTTTATTTTACTCGTACCGTCTGAATGTCCAAATGTTAAAGTGCTTGTCTTTTTAGGCATTTACTGCTCCTGAGAAAGCATTCTGCTCTGATTGGCTTGCAAAGGTAGCCATGGGTTAATAGATCAAGAGGGGGGCAGTTTATTCTAAAGAGCCTGCATGTGACATGGGAAGGGGAGCATCATCTTAATAGCTTGTTGAATCCAATGTTTCTGACTTCCTGAAACCTTCAAAAGTCTCACTGTGATGTCTTATTATATGTGCATTGGTAGGCAGAAGTGGGAGAAGTACTCAGATCTTGTACTTGAGTAAAAGTAGAAGTACCAGAGTGTAGGAATACTCTGTCTGTTACAAGTAAAAGCCCTGCATTCAAAAGATTACTCAAGTAAAAGTACAAAAGTAAGGCAAGGCAAGGCAAGGCAAGGCAAGGCAAGGCAAGGCAAGGCAAGGCAAGGCAAGGCAAGGCAAGGCAAGGCAAGGCAAGGCAAGGCAAGGCAAGCAGGCAAGGCAAGGCAAGGCAAGGCAGGCAAGGCAAGGCAAGGCAAAGGCAAGGCAAGGCAAGGCAAGGCAAGGCAAGGCAAGGCAAGGCAAGGCAAGGCAAGGCAAGGCAAGGCAAGGCAAGGCAAGGCAAGGCAAGGCAATGCAAGGCAAGGCAAGGCAAGGCAAGGCAAGGCAAGGCAAGGCAAGGCAAGGCAAGGCAAGGCAAGGCAAGGCAAGGCAAGGCAGGGCAAGGCAAGGCAGGCAAGGCAAGGCAAGGCAAGGCAAGGCAAGCAAGGCAAGGCAAGGCAAGGCAAGGCAAGGCAGGCAAGGCAAGGCAAGGCAAGGCAAGGGGGCAAGGCAAGGCAAGGCAAGGCAAGGCAAGGCAAGGCAAGGCAAGGCAAGGCAAGGCAAGGCAAGGCAAGGCAAGGCAAGGCAAGGCAAGGCAAGGCAAGGCAAGGCAAGGCAAGGCAAGGCAAGGCAAGGCAAGGCAAGGCAAGGCAAGGCAAGGCAAGGCAAGGCAAGGCAAGGCAAGGCAAAGGCAAGGCAAGGCAAGGCAAGGCAAGGCAAGGCAAGGCAAGGCAAGGCAAGGCAAGGCAAGGCAAGGCAAGGCAAGGCAAGGCAAGGCAAGGCAAGGCAAGGCAAGGCAAGGCAAGGCAAGGCAAGGCAAGGCAAGGCAAGGCAAGGCAAGGCAAGGCAAGGCAAGCCAAGGCAAGGCAAGGCAAGGCAAGGCAAGGCAAGGCAAGGCAAGGCAAGGCAAGGCAAGGCAAGGCAAGGCAAGGCAAGGCAAGGCAAGGCAAGGCAGGCAAGGCAAGGCAAGGCAAGGCAAGGCAAGGCAAGGCAAGGCAAGGCAAGGCAAGGCAAGGCAAGGCAAGGCAAGGCAAGGCAAGGCAAGGCAAGGCAAGGCAAGGCAAGGCAAGGCAAGGCAAGGCAAGGCAAGGCAAGGCAAGGCAAGGCAAGGCAAGGCAAGACAAGGCAGGCAAGGCAAGGCAAGGCAAGGCAAGGCAAGGCAAGGCAAGGCAAGCAAGGCAAGGCAAGGCAAGGCAAGGCAAGGCAAGGCAAGGCAAGGCAAGCAGGCAAGGCAAGGCAAGGCAAGGCAAGCAAGGCAAGGCAAGGCAAGGCAAGGCAAGGCAAGGCAAGGCAAGGCAAGGCAAGGCAAGGCAAGGCAAGGCAAGGCAAGGCAAGGCAAGGCAAGGCAAGTTTATTTATATAGCACCTTTCAACACAAGGCAATTCAAAGTGCTTTACAAAAAACGAAAGACATTAAGAAAATGGCATTTAAAATCAGCCATTAAAAATAAAAGATAATAAAATAAACATTCAAAGAAAAAATACATGGATAAAAGTTACAGTGCAAAAGTAAAAGTACTTATTATGCAAAATGGCCCATTTCATTATAATTACTAATGCATTATTGTGTTTATTAAAGCTAGTAAAGGTGCAGCTAGTTTTAATGACTTTGTATGATGCAGGGTAGCTTGTGAATGTTAATCCAGGTGTAACTAAATTCTCATTGAAGGGTTGATTATATTTCACATTATCAATCAAATCCGATTAACCTTTGAATTATTGTGGAGTATAAATACAAAGTAGCATAACATGGAAATACTCGTAAAAAGTACAAGTCTCTCTAATTGGTACTTAAAGGTGGGGTATGTAATTTATTTCAGAAACACTTTTTGTTATATTCCATGGAATGCTCTTAACATCCCGATAGCAATGAATATATTAAATGCTTTGACAATAAATACATAAAAAAATTCATCTGTGGAAGCCGTAGCACTGTAAAAAGCACGACCAATCATTTTAGCCGGCCCGGCTAAAGTAACTGGATGGCCTACCTGCCTGTTAGCCTTCCATCTCGTGCACAAACTTATCTCGTGCCCTCATTGGTCATGTGCGCTTCGTGTGTGTTGGAGGAGGTGCTCTGTAAGGAAGTCTGAAGGAAGAGGCAGATTTTTTCCGGTTGTGTGCTTTCAAATTCTAGCGTACTCGAGCTGGTTTCCCCAAAATTACATACCCCACCTACCCACAACTTATTTAGTAAATGCACTTTCCACCTCTGTTGGTAGGCACTCAAGATAAGTACAAGCATACAGGTAATTCTTATACGATATTTTGCCTTCACCCATTCTTCATGTGCATCTTTATCAGATAATTCTGCTGTTTACGCCAGTGGTGAATTACCCATTAAATATGCTAAGAATCAATCTATCGAGCATAAGCTAAATATTTACATCCAGTTCAACATACTGTGAATGCTATGAAGCCAATATTTGTTCACTATTCTCAAAAGCTTCCCCACAGGGTCAGATCATAATAACATCCGTCAGTCAGTTGGTGAATTGAGGGAAGAAGCATTCATCACGTCTCACGCTGCCGTGTGATTGATAGGCATCACCTTGAAATGAGCCGTGATGTTAACACAAGATGACAAGACATGTGGGGTAAAGGTTGGTGGGCTTAATCATCCTCTCTCCCCTCCTATTGTTCATCACAGCTGCCTTAGACACATAATGACGGGAAACGATGGGAAACGATGGCTCACGCACAGATTGATGAGTGATCCCTGCAGAAGGCAACACATCATTAGTGTCTTCTGAGGGTAACCCTGCTCTCTGAGATAAAGACGAGCACATCCAGCACAGATGAAAAGAGATGTGCTTTCATCTTCCAGTAATGTTGCTGTTTTCAATGTTGTCCAATTGAGATTATGCTCCTCATACACATGTGTCCTCTCCTGGGCTTTGATGTCATTATATTAATGGCGTCCATCGATCACCAGTGTTTGGTCCAATAGATGTGAGGGCTCTTGAAAACGATGACAGAAGATGTCTGCGAAACATTTTGCAAAATGAGCCTTTTACCATAAAACCAAGAGATGGAGGATAGTTTTGTCATTATCAGTTATTTGCACGTATAACACATCTCTAAAAAGACTTACAGATTACATTGTATATATTCTAAGACATATTACCTAGAGTCTTTTTGTACATAGACTATACTATAAATTAATCTGTTCTCCGAGTTGGACTTTTTTTTACTGTTGTTTCTTACTCAGCAAAAACCGAACATTATGGGCTTTTTTGCTCCTACAGTAATACAAAGTTTTATTTCCTTGACTTTTTTCTGTCGAGGAGGGTTTTAAACATAGCATTGCTCCCTTTTAAGCCCCACGGACCCGTATCCGGGTCCGAAATCGCGTAATTTGCAGGAAACAACGTCTAAGGAACCTTCATATTTAATAAACTATGAATGTTTTATATCAATATAACGGAAAAAAACTAATTTAACTGATCTTTTTCATTTAAAAAAAAAACAAAACTCAAAATGCTAACAGTGAGCCTCTGGATTAGCCCCGAGCGAAAAATGCTAACCTATTACTGCACCGAAAATCACTCCTAGCACCCTTATTACTTATCCT